GTTTCCGAGGCAGTATCACTACGGAAGTAGGATTGCCCAACCTTCCTTCCGAGGAGTGGCTGGTGGGTTTGAACCGCCAGCCCTCTGGTTAGCAGGCAAGTGTCTTAGCCACTATGCTACCAGAGCTCCCCCATTTTCCTTAGGCAGCTTTAAAAGCCTTCTCCAATTCGTTGCTCATTTCTCTCCTCTGAATACAGACTACTTTTCCATACATTCTCCCAGTTTTCAAATATCAGAGACTCTCTCTATGCCATCTCGTCAATACTGTCTTTACTCTAATATCAGTAGTTAACTTTCCCCATGTTTAAGACTTAACATACTTAGTAATATAACCTCTTTAGGGAAAAGGGCTATGTTTTAATGTTTTTCTGTCCCCCATTTATTTTTTAAATACTTGTGTATACGTCACCTACAGTCAATTAAATGACAGTCTCCTATGGCACAAGGAAGTAAGTTCATCACTAGAATAATTATAATTTGAAAATCAGCTATTAATTTTTACTGGTGCAAATAATGACATAAAGAGGAGATATTACATTACCTCATTAATCTTGTTAAGGTGTTTTGCATGAACATACATAAGGCCACTCCATCCTTTAAATAAGCATAAACATGAAGAAATTAAAAATAAAAATATTTTCAGGATTCAGAGTAATGAAGTACAAAATATACCTAATTTTTTAAAATGAGGTTACCATTTAAATCTCTTTGATGCTGTCCGAAAGGCAAATGATGCAATATTTGAGTTCTGATCTGCTAGGGTCCTCGCACTCATGTGTGCATGAGCTCTTGCAGCAAAATCTTAGATTTAAGAGTCAGATCATGTATTTCAAACAATATGGAGTTCTACTCAGTAACTCAGGAAGAAGAGGCATATGACATATCTACCTATTACTATAAACTGCAATCCTTTAAGATTACCAACATTAAAAAAAGGAGAGGAGGACAGGAAAAATTGTGTTAAGTTTTGATTCTTTGTGCCTTTCAAGCTTTTACCTTAGGAGTGTGCACAAATTGCAGATTTCTTTAACAAATTTCTTAAATGAACTCTAACTCATGGCCTCTTCTTCACCTCACGTGCTAACTTCAACCCAGTGTAAAATGGCCTTCATCATTCTCCCAAAGACTCCCCCCTCAAATGTTTCTAATGATCTCCTATTTGTCAAATTAAATAGTTTTCTCTTACTTTCATCTTTTATCTTTCTATAACATGTGGTACCCTTCTTTAGCAATTTCTTTAATTTGATACTTTATCTTCTTGATTTCTAGTGACATTTTCACTCCTGATTCTCTTCCTATCTTTTTGACTGTACTTTTCTACTTTTCTTCCTTGGATCATCTTACTCAGGTAATCTCTAAATGCATGATACCCCACGTCCACTATATTTTTTCTTTCCTCTCTCTTTTATCTAAAATTCATCTTTGGAAGTTTCATTCACTTCCATTGTTTCAATTACTGTTTATTATGTAGAGTCTCAAAAGCTACTAGACATTTCCACATTCTGCCAACACTTCAAACTTAACATGGCAAATCCAAATGAGAGAGAAAGAAGACCAAGTTTGAATCTTAGTGTCACCATTGAATAGCAACAAGAACTTTAGCAGTCTGAACTACAAACTTCAGTTTTCTTATAAACAGGGTAAGGACCTAGTCTATTTGATTTAAAGGATGGTTCCAAAACCATCTGCTGTTGAGTCGATTCCAACTCATACAGACTCTATAGGACAGAGTAGAACTGCCCCACAGGGTTTCCAAGGCTATAAATCTTTACAGGAGCAGACTGTCACATCTTTCTCCAGTGGAACAGCGGGCAGGTTCAAACCACTAACCTTTTGGTTAGCAGACATGCACTTTAACCACTCTGCCACTAGGGCTCCATAAAGGATGGTTGTTATTGTTGTTATTATGTGTCATGGAGTTGGACTCGCCTTGTAGCAACCCTTCCTGGGGTTTCCGAGGCGGTATCACTATGGAAGTAGATTGCCCAACCTTCTTTCCGAGGAGTGGCTGGTGGGTTTGAACTGCCAGCCTTCTGGTTAGCAGTCAAGTGTCTTAGGCACTAGGCTACCAGAGCTCCCAAAGGATGGTTGTTAGAAGGATGAGTATGTATACAGACACTCTGTAAAAGATTATATAAATGTTAAGACCTCTTAGTTAAAATAAAAAAAAAAGTCTTCTGGTCAACAAGGCTCAGAATTTTGGTATCACATTTGATCCTTATATTCTTATTAGTTACTAAGTACTAACTGAATTAACAGAAGTACTAAAGGAATTGAGAGAATCCCTCTCAACTCTTCCTTTGAAATATTTCTAACATCAGTCCCTTCTTTTCTATTTTCTTCCCAACATTTCTTTCTTGCTTCCTAATTAGTCTCTTTGTATTGTTGTTTCTCTCCCTCTCTCCTTCTCTCTGTAATATATCTAGCATGCTGATAAACTATTACCAAAAGAATAAAGCCCAAATTCCTTGGCAACACAACATGGACCACCTAATCCAAATGATATCACCAGCTTCACTGACCATCTACATCATTCAAGCACTCTACTTCAACCACAACAAACTATTTGCCATCATGCTATCACTTTATACTTATTGTCTCCATGTCACTGCCACTATTTGGAATCACCTGTTCTTGCCTCTATGTATTTCAAGAAATGCCCAGATCAAAGAATATATTTCTATGAAGCTTAACTAAATTCCCCAATAATAATATCTCCTGTTTCCATGGCCTTTTCACTTTGTACCTTAACTATATGCTTACAGATTGTCTTTTATGAAGTTTTATGAAATGTTTGGATTCATTACAAGACACACATCTACATGATAGGGGTTATGGAAGATAATAATAAATGAAATGTGGTCAAAGTCTCTAGTCTTCAATAATCTTATTGAAGAATGAGGAATACAGAAATGCAAAAAGTATCAAGGCAGAGTATAATTACTATAAGAAGTGCCTGAGCAAATTGAGAGGAGTGCCAAAGAAGACAAAATTCATTTCAATTGGGGCAGAGGTGCAGGCAGCTGAAAGGCTTCACAGGAAAAAGAAATGGCATTTGCTAGGTCAAGGCAGTAAGTTCCTTGAGGTTGACAGGATATCTTCTTTATCCTTTTATCTCCCTCAGCAGCTAATACAATGTCTTGCCTATACTAGGTACTTTTTTAACTTAACTGAAACAAAAGAATTTTAGCTGGACAACTATGTTGATTTATAAAACAAATACAGCCAAGGAAAGATAAAAACCATGATGGTATAAATTTCCTAATTTAAAGCCTAATCAGGAAGGTCAGTCTATATCACAATGTGATAAGAACCTTAATGTAAGTCCAAAAAGCTAAAATGCTTTAAAAGTAGAATGACTTGTATTCTATTAAAAACCTCTCCAATAGAGTCTTTCAAATTATCTCAGTAATGTAATTTAAATAGACCTTTTGTTCAATTACTAGTTTTAGTTTACTTAAAGTTCTGATACAAGTATCTAAACATGGTAGAAATGAAAGTGACAGAGGTATCAGCCTGCATACTGTTAGAATTTTCATTCGAAGATTAAAACCACGTAAAAAATATTTAGAGGCAGTATGGAATAATGGGTTAAAGAGCATGAAAATAAACAAACAACAACAATAAAAAAAAAAAAAAAATCCCAAAGTGAAACCAAACTGCCTGGGTTTGAATCAAATTAGGTTTGAATATAACCCCTTAACTAGCTAGTTTAACCTTGGGCAACTTACTTAACATCTCTGTTTCAGTCTCCTCTGTCTGGAAAATGGTACTGATAGTAGTACCTATATCATTAGGGGGTGGTGGTGGTTGTTGTTGTTATTTGCCATGGAGTCGGACCCGACTCACAGCGACCCCTTCTTGGGTTTCCCAGGCAGGATCACTACAGAAGTAGACTGCCCAACCTTCCTTCTGAGGAGTGGTTAGTGTGTTTGAACCACCAGCCTTCTGGTTAGCAATCAAGTGCCTTAGGCACTACACTACCAGAGCTCCTCATTAGGGGATTAGTAATGACTAAATAACCTGGCATAAAAAGAGAACAAAAATGTTACCTATTGTCATCATTGCAAATATCAGTAACAGCACTGGAATTCGTTTGGGCCTTAAAGGTGTCAAAAATAGATTAAATTGTACTGGCCAACATGACCTAGGGAGAAGGTCAAAAAGATTAAATAAAAGGTCAAAAAGGAATATCATAATGTGCTTTAAGCCACTTTTATTCTGAGTAGAAAAATACCTGGCCTGTAAAAAAGTATTTTATTCTGAAACCATAAATGAGCTTCCTTTTTGTTAAATGTATTAATATCTTCAAAATACATGCAAGGTTTGTAAAGAAAATAAAAATTACTTATCTATATATGAGTAAAGCTAAAATAGAACTGTGTAATACTAGCAGTCAATAGAAAGAAGTCAGAGAAGAATACTGGGGTGACTGCAGATATTAAGCCACAGAGCACTAGGGGCAATGGACTTACAGAAAAGTGACAAGGGAAGTCAGGGGCAAGGGATACTATCTTTAAGCTAGATTAAGAATATAAAGCTTTCCAAAATGCCCAACTTTTCCTTGAAGCATTATACCCATCCCTGGCCAAGCAGGTAGGTTTTTATTTTCCTACATCCTGAACCTTATGATTGGATTCTGATTATTTCTCTCCTCTGTAAAAAGACTTTTTGTCGTCTCTATAGAGTATCTGTGGCATCATTCTTGTAACGGGGTTAAAACTTATATTAGCTTATTCTATTCTATTTTCTGTCTCATAACATTTTAGGATTAATCTCTGTGTTATGCTAATCCATAACCTGGCCTCTACGTTCTCAACTAAAAATTAAAGCCTAGAGGGACAGTTTAAGCTTTCTCTGGCTCTTTAAACAAAGGATTAAAACCAAACCAAACTCACTGCCATCGAGTTGATTCCAACTCATAGTGACCCCCTTTGGGTTTCTGAGGTGGTAAATCTTTATGGAAGTAGACTGCCCTGTCTTCGTTCCACAGAGTGGCTGGTGGGTTTGAACTGCCAACCTTCTGGTTAGCATTCAAATGCCGTAGGCACTCTGACACCAGAGCTCACTTCTTAAGGAACTTACTTTAAAAAAAAAAAAAAGAGTGACAAATACAGTAAAATGCTGATAGTTGTTGATGCTGTTATGAGGACAGCATCTATCTTTCTGTTGTTGTTAGATGCCATTGAGTTGTCTCCGACTCATAGCGACCCCATACATAGCAGAATGAAACAATGCCCAGTCCTGTGCCAGCTCCACGATCCTTGCTATACCTGAGCCCATTGTTGTAGCCAGTCAATCCATCTTGTTGAGGGCCTTTCCCTCTTTTGTTGACTCTCAACTTTACCAAGCACGATATCCTTCCCCAAGGAATGGTTCCTTCTTACATGGCCAAAGGAGGTGAGATGAAGTCTGGCCATTCTCGCTTCCAAGGAGCATTCTGCCTGCACTTCTTCCAGGGCAGATTTGTTAGTTCTTTTAGCAGTCCATGGTACTTTCAGCATTCTTCACCAGCACCACAACTCAAAAGCATCCACTCTTCTTCAGGATATCAGATAATGTATAGCACTGGGCAAATAGGTTGCAAAGGACCTCTTTCAAGGGCTGAAGAGCAAAGATGTCTCGTTGAGGACTAAGGTGTGCCTGACACAAGCCATGGTATTTTCATTCACCTCATATGCATGTGAGAGTTGGACGATGAATAAGGAAGACCAAAGAATAATTGATGCTTTTGAGCTGTGATGTTGGCAAAGAATGGTAAAAGTATCATGGACTGCTAAAAGAACTAAAAGGTCTGTCTTGAAGGAATGCAGCCATAATGCTACTTGGAGGCAAGAATGGCCAGACTTTGTCTCACATACTAAGGTCATATTGTCAGAAGGGACTATTCCCTGGAGAAGGTTGTCACGCTTGGTAAAGTGGAGGGATGACCAAAGGAGGGAAGACCCTCAATGAGATGGATTGATATAGAGACAGCGGCGATGGGCTCAAGTACAGCAACAATCATGGAGGTGGCTCAGGACTTGGCAGTGTTTGGTTCTGATGTGCATAGGGTCACTGAGTTGGAGAGGACGCGACAGCACCTGATAACAACTTGCAAAATTCTATCATGCAATCTCCAGTGTTATTTCTATCACCAAGGCCAAATTTTCCAACTACTGGTGACTCTTCTTTGTTTTCAACTTTTGCATTCCAATCACCATTGATAATCAGTACATCTTGATTGCCTGTTTGGTCAATTTCAGACTGCAGAAGTTGGTAAAAATCTTCAATTTCCTCATTTTTGGCTTTGGTAGTTGGTGCATAAATTTGAATAATAGTAGTAGTAGTAACCAGCCTTCCCTGCAGGCGTACGGATATTATCCTATCACTGACAACATTGTACTTCAGGACAGATCTTGAAACATTCTTCATGTTGATGAATGCCATGCCATTCCTCTTTGTTCTGGTTACCTACTGCCACTCTGACAAGAATATATACCACAAATAGGATAGCCTTAACAAACAGGAGTTTATTCTTATAATTTAGAGACTTTAAAAGTCCAAGTTCAAAGTGCCAGGTTCTAGGGGTTAGGTGAAAGCCCCTCAACCTTGGGGTCCAGCCCTGCCTCCTACTCTCAGACCACTGGAGCTAGAGGCGTTTCTTCACTCAGACAGCTACTAGCTGCTGAGGCTAAGCCCCAAGGTTGGCAAGTAAAAAGGCACAGTCCAGATGTTACCTAACCACACAGCAGGCCATTAACTTAAGCCCATTTTAAGTCCCAAAGTCATCAGAGCAGAGCAGGCTGCTGAACAATGACACAGCTACATGCAGGGTCCAAGCATGCCATAGGCTAGAGACCATTCTCAAAGCTTCTCCTTATATACAGGAAGCAGACCACATGCCAAAGGCAGCTACCCAGCTTCTCCCAGTAGATTCCACCATGGAGTTGATTACCAGTCTCATCATGGGGAATACTATATCCAGCTGCCCAGCCACTCAACCAGGCCTAGCCAAGTTGACATACAAACATAACCATCACACTCTTCAATATTTCATTCTCAGTATAGTAGATCATAGGGTTGTCTGATTCAAAATGGCCAAAAGCAGTCAATTTCAGCTCATTAATGCCTAGGATATTGATTTTTATGCATTCCATTTCATTTATGACAACTTCCAATTTTCCTAGATTCATACTTCATATATTCCATGTTCCAATTATTAATGTTTGCAGCTGTTTCTCCTCACTTTCAGTTGTGCCACATCAACAAATGGAGGTCCCAAAAGCTTTGTCATTAAGCTGTATCATTAAGGTCAGTTCTATTCTGATGAGGCAGCTCTTTCCCAGTTGTATTTTGAATGTCTTCCGAACTAAGGGGCTCATCTTCCAGCACTGTATCAGACAGTGTTGCAGGGCTATTCATAAAGTTGTCCAGTAATGTATCAGTGTTTCTCTGCTATTCATAAGGTTTTCCCTGGCCAATTCTTTGAGAAGTGGATGGCCTCTTCTTTCTTCCAGGACTGTCTCAGTCTAGTAGCGCTGCTGAAACCTGTCCACCATGTGCCACCATGCTGGCATTTGAAACACCGGTGGCACAGCCTCCAGCCTGGCAGCAACACACAAGCCTCCACAGTACAACGAACTGACAGACAAGTTCATCTCCTTTAGCTGTTCTAAACCTCTCTGCCCTCCCTCTACCTGGATCCAGCTACCATCAGCCCTGCTTTCCAGCTTCCTGCCGTGGGTGTGTGCTCTGCCCCTCCCCTTACCTGGATCCATCCGCAGTCAGTCCTGGCTTTTTGGCTTCCTGCCTTGGGTGTGGGCTCTCTTCCTCTCCTTCCCCCTCCCCTAACCTGGATCCAGTCGCCATATGGCTTTCTTTCTAATTTTGTTTATTTTTGGAAATTTCATTAATAAAAAGCTTTCTTACAAAAGTATGAAAAATATAGTGGCAAAACACCAACAAAATTATTTTTCTAAAATGTGATTTAATAAGTACTTTAAGCATTTTTAATATAATTAGGATGAAATGTAATCCAATGAGTAAAATCATCATATAGTCTAGTTATATCATTGTCCTCAGAAAAGAAAAGCAAATTTACTAAATAAGCAGATTCTAATGATGCATCTCCAATAACAAATAAGTATGTTGGATAAGAAAATCCTTACTGAGAGAAAAACTAACTTAAGTCATCTTGTTGTTGTTATATGTTGTGGTGTCGGACCCGACTCATAGCGACCCCTCCTTGGGTTTCCAAGGCAGTATCACTATGGAAGTAGATTGCCCCAACCTTCCTTCCGAGGAGTGACTGGTGGGTTTGAACTGCCAGCCTTCTGGTTAGCAGTCAAGTGCCTTAGGCAGTATGCTACCAGAGCTCCTTAAGTCATGTTAGGGGCCCCATAATATCTTAGCTGTGAAGGGACAGATTATATGTATAACTATCTCATACACATGTATGACTTTCAAAAGTCCAAGGCCATTTTAAATTTCAGTTTACAAATATTTATGGAACTAAAAACAGTATATGTAAAGTTTCTGATAATTATTTTTCATGTAGCCTGTAACTAGGACCTTCACATATACTGTTTCTAGATTGTTGTTTTTTTTAAAATCATCATGTGATTTTAAATACTCCATACTTTATACATTTTGCTGTTTCTTAAAATTGTCCATGTTATGGATTGAACAGTGTTCCCCCAAAACATTGGTTGGAATCCTAACCCCTATACCTGTGGATGTAAACCCTTTTGGCAATATGGTTTTCTTTGTTATGTTAATCAGTATAAGGTGTGTCCTATACATAATCTGAATTAGAAGCTCCTGGAGGTACATGAATCTGTAAGTCCACCCAGAGGAACATCAAAAGAAAAGGGCTGGCGATCTAACTCTGAAAAACCAGCCCTAGAAAAATCATACAGATCTCCATGAGGCAGAATCACCTTGACAGCAACTGGTTACTCGTATCTTCACAATAACCATACAACTAAAATTAAAAGATCTCAGCCAGAGATTCTGATTAATATGTAGAATCTACTTTCATATAGTACTTGCCTCTGGAGTTCCTAGTGCTTTCACAGCATTCAAATCAGACCCTGAGGAGAAAGTACTGTTTGCCCCACGGACAATGAGGCCTATTCCCTCTGTCCAATTCTCCAATTCAATTACTTTCTCTAGAAGTTGTAGCATCATAACACCTGTTAGACAGAAGAGGGGAAAATCACAAGCACATATAAGACATTAGAAAATCCAAAATAATTTAGAAACTGAAAGATGTCAAACAGGCCTCTTAGGTAATACACTTTACAAATATTTACATCTCTTAAATGTCTACTGTGTTGGTACTATGGATTGTACAAAAGAGGTATATGTGACAGTCCTTTCTACTAGTCAGCTTATAATTTATCAGTTTTATCTATCTACGTATCTCACAACAATTGAGTTAAGAAATCACACAACAATTATCATACTTACCTTGTTGTTGTTATGTGCCGTCGAGTCAAACCCGACTCATAGTGACCCCTCCTTGGGTTTCCGAGGCAGTATCACTACGGAAGTAGGATTGCCCAACCTT